ACAAAATAATTTTTTTCTCCTTTATTTAAAACTTAGCATTTTGTTCAATAGTTTTATTTTGAAAATACACAGTGAATTGACTGCCTCAGTGGCGGATTACCTCTATTTGTTGCTTTCCTTTTCTTTTCCTTGTGGGAAGGAGGAAAAGATTAAAGAGAATCTGTTTTGTCCATTTAATAGCAGTTTTTGGCAAAAGCTTCTGGAAAGGAAATGGAAAATGTTACAGAAAATCAAATTCTAATTATCTGTGTCTTCTAAAACTTAACCTCTCACATTAGAATATATTTTTCCAAGTTCTATTCTGAAAAAAAGGGACTTTCTTAAAGTTACCAGTTAATGGGACTGATGGTATCAGTAAAATAGACTATAAATATAAACTCTTCTCATTTCATTAATAGTTTTTAGATGTCAGAGTGTTATGCATATTGCATCCAGGTGTTACTTTGTGTTTTAAGATTTCAGTGAGAATACTACTACTATTATATTATGCTAACATAGTTATAGCTGCTGCTTCTAAGTCTTCATAACTTGTCATTAAGCTCCTTGGTAACATTTGCAAAACTGGGGAGAATCCCTGAGGAATCTTGAATTCTGTACTCTAAAATGGGATAGAGGTGAGGTCTGTAAACATATGTATCTAATTTTCTTATGCTCCTGAAATTGTTGAACTTGAGATACTACTGCACATTGTATTGTTAAGAGTGGCTGAGTTTTTTAATACGTTTGTCTTTTTAATTTTCTTATTTACGTGTTTAGAACACAAATATATAAAGAAAATTAATATCACTTGTAGTCTCACCAGTACAATGAATTTTCAGGCAGAATTTGTACCTCCCTTTCTGAAGGTTTCCTACCTGCTTGCTTCCTCAAAGGGAAAGATGACATATGCTGCTTAGAGTTGTTGAGGATTAAATGGAGTTATTATTTGTAAATGTTTATGAAAGAATATACTAATGTAGTATTTGTTCTCGTTCTATAAAGCTTTTATTCCCCTGTAGCATTGCTTCTTCCAATTGAAGTTGATTTGATTTTGGTTTTTAAGATTCTT